TGTGTCTTCCTAACTCTACTCATAGAAATGTGAGAGAAATGCTTTTACCTATATAACTGTGGCGTGCCAGGCCACTTATCTTACTTATAACCGCTGTAGGGTCTAAGGCTCTGTGTGTGTGTGTAAGAACACTGGTGTACAATTCCTTCTAGTTGCCCCAGTTTTGACAAGATTTTTTGAATGGGATTAATAGATTGAGGTATATATATATATATATATATATTATATATACACACATATATATATATATAAATGTATACATATATATATGGTACATTACCTGCCTTTGTGGTTTTATAAGGATAGACAGACTAAGTGGGGAGGGAGGGGATTGTGAGTCCACACATCATCTTGGGTTTCAGATTAGCTGCAGCTTTATTGTATTTGTAACATCAAACAAACATAGGCAGCATAAACACATACATTTAAAGTCTGCCTGGCACCTATTAGGCTGGGTTCACACCTAGGCGTATCGAATATGCGCGTGTGACGCGTGTTTTTGTACTGCGATTCGCGGTAAAAAACGTGTGACAAGCTCGCGTTTGCGAGGGCTACTTGGCTGTATCCCAATGGAAACGCGCGACAAAAACACCCCACAGAACCTCCTGTACTTCTTTGGACGTAGGGCGTTTTGTAGCGCGTTCATACGGCCTGTAATACGCCCAGGTGTGAACCATACCCATAGGAAATAATGGGATTTCGGTGTTTGAGCGTTTTGCAGAGCGTTCGAACGCGCTACAAAACGCCCAGGTGTGAACCAGGCCTTACACAGTTTGAGTCCCACCCTTGTGTCCAGCACTACAAAACATGAACTTTGTACTCGCAGGGCTGCCATCACAATCTCCCTCCAGAAAAGACTAGTGCTCCCCTTGGACCACCAGTGCAGCCATCTAGCTTCCACTAAAAGCATAACCACACTAGTCCTAATTAGGTCTAAATAGGCCAGCTTAATTCAATGACTGGACTCTTCCCCTTGCTCTTTCCTTCACTCCAAGCGTCCAAATCCCAGTTTCACAGAGAACCCAATAGAGCAAACAACAACCTTTCAAAGCCAAACCAGATTTTTAACACAAACGTGAAAGATACCTGAAAACAACATAACACCTTCCAGCTGCGTCCTAGTGTGTCTTGCACAATGTGTCAGGGCAGGGGCCTTTAAATTGTCATCACTGACATACGATAGGTGGATTTTGTTTTCGAGCTATAATTGTAGACCAAGCAAACAGACTTTGTATTTCGAAAATGTTCCTCCACTGACTACTTTGAATTTATGATATTTGCAGAGGTATGTTATCTCGAGCTCCACAGTCAGCAAGTCATTGTCTTATGAAATCAGTCCATTCTTATAGCTTCCTGAAACAATTTCATATAGAGGCTTGATTGTCTGTCCTTATATCAACTCTGCCCTTGTTTAACCAGATGTGTCTCATTTGAATCTCATTCCGCATATTACCAGGTTCCACAATCTTTAGACTAGCTCTGCCCTAACGTGTATCATTACCAAAAACAAAAATGGAATATATTGCAGCTTACTAGCCCTTTTATGTGGTGGCTGTATCCTTTTCTGTTGTTGTATTTTGCCTGCTTATCCTTCAAATAAAGCATTTCTTGCCCCTGGGTGTCTATGCTCACTCACTCCACTGTGTCTATGGAGTGAACTAGTATAAGGGACGTGCGGTCAGGGGAGGCAAAGCCTTCCCTAGTATTATAAAGAAAAAGGTGTCAGCTTCAAGTCTGAAGCTGACAGCTTTTTCTCCATTCAGAGCGGCTTGTTACAGTTTACACATCAGGGAAAGCCTCCCCGCTGTGTAACCTGTCATAGACGGAGCACTGCCTGTTAGGCAGTGCTGCATCCGGCTTCTGACTGGTAGTTAGGTTACACAGCAGCTGGCTTCCCCACTGCTTGTGTAACCTAACTTGGTGAGCCAAGAGCTGTCACAGCCTCTACTCTGTGTTAGAGGCGTGAGCTCTGTGGATGGCTTGGACCAATGGCAAAGCGCCATTGGTCCAAGCTGTCCAATAAAAAAAAAAAAAAACAGTGAGGACATCGATCTTGATGCCTCAACAGTGACGAGCAAGTGAGGAACAGGGAGGCTCCACCCTGTCTCTTCCCCACACAGCTTGGTTACCGAGCTGGGGGCGGGGGTTCAGTGGGATGGGGCGGGGCTTTAACTGTATGGGGCGGCGCTTCAGCGGGACGGGGAGGAGCTATGGCAGGCTGGGGGATGCCTCACCCAGCACAGAAGGCACGGCACGTCACTGACTATTATTTCTCAGGCTCGACTTCAAACACTCACTCCTGCATCTATGAATAATAACTTCACTCCACTGTATCTATGGAGGGATCCATGGTTATCACCCTGGCTTGACTTTAAACATGTCTGCTTTTGTTCAGCTCCTTTACATAGGGGATGTGTAGATTAGTATCCTACTGTACATAATGCAAAACTCCAGGGAAAAACGATTATTAACCCTTGCAGTAGGGCTACCTCTGTACTGCAAGGGTTAACAGCTCGTTTTGAGCTAGGGAGGAAAATAACAAAGTTATACTCACCTGATCCTCAGAGCTGGCCATTCCCTGCTGCCTGTCTCCTCCTACACTGCAGCGACGGTGTGTCTCTCGGTATCCTCATGTGCTATACGCAGTATATAGAACACGATGATTTAGGGGACCTTAGACCACTGCAGCGGAGGGGGAGAGAGGCTCCAAGGACCGATCTAAGAGCATGCCATAACCGAGGATCGGGTGAGTTTAACTTTTTCATTTTCCTCCTTAGGCACAAATGAGCAGTTAACCTTTGTATTGCAGGAGTAGCCCAATTACAAGGGTTAATAATAATTTTTCCCAAAGTTCTTGCCTTTTGGTTAGCTCACAGGAAGTGACAAGGAGACCGCATTTCTGGCAAGATCAACAGGTATTTTCTGTGCTTGCTGAAAATGTTCCTCGTCTGAAAATAAACCGAATACAACCACCTAACCTATGGGTCAGTAAGTTACCCTATATTATATTTTTGTCCTTGGGTTCAGTTATACCCTTTATCCAGGGAATATGTGCCATTTGTATGTCGTTCAGCATTTTACTAAGTACCACAACATTCATCTAGGCCTTGCACCTTGTACAAGGCTTTGTGCACATCTGAAAATGCTTGAAATGTTCCTTATAAGCCCTCATTCACACTAGAAAAGGTCGGCACGTGCAGCTCAGTGCTGCGTGCACGGCCGTATCGGGCAGCTCCCAGGAAGGACAGGTGCTGCTTGTGATTAGTACGCAGCCACTATCCTTCTCTATGGACGCGGCCATACGCCCCCCTACGCTCACCTCAAGTGGAGGTCCGTACGGGTGCGGTTGTCTCGGCTCGGACGCAGACAGGATCGATCCTGTCAGCGTACGAGTACACCCACCCGCACCCGCACAGACGTGCAGGGCGGGTGAGCGTAGGGCGGTGTACGGCCGCATACTCCCATAGAAAAGGACAGGGGCTGCGTACCAATCACACGCAGCACCCGTCCTTTCCGGAAACTGCCCGACATGGCCGTGCACGCAGCACTGAGCTGTACGTGCCGGCCTTTTCTAGTGTGAATGGGGGCTAATGTGCATGGCTGGTTTCCCTTTAAAATGTATATCCCTTTGTCTATATACATACATTATAGACATCTTGTATAGAGAACACCAGAAGATTTAGATAGATACTTTTGGGAGGATTCACATTAAGTGAAGTGGATTATTAGACTCTCACCAGGCTCCAGTAACTGGTGGTCAGTAAGAAGCTTTGTCATCAAATCTAGGGGAACAACTGCAGGCTTTAGCGAGTTTAACTCCATCATGGTAACCTTTACTTAGCAGTGACACCAGGGAGAAGCGCCTTATGTTCACAAAATGGGACAATACAGCCATCTTTTTAATTAGTCTTAATTATAACATTGCTGTAAGCAGAAGAAGGGGCACGCAGAAGAAGGGGCACGCAGGCTTTCTGTGCCCTCTGGCCATGAAGGGGATAAAGCAGATTAAATCCTCCAAATGCAAATTGTGTTTCTCTCTCTCATTTTACTCATTGTTAGACTTTATTGATTAATTATAATGCTAAATAGCAAAATATAATTTATGGGTTTTTGCATGGTTTTATTACATGTATAAAAATAACTACATATATGTATATATATATATATA